AATTTGGTAACTTTTATGTGATCGTCATATGATAAATGAAAATCAGTCAAATTATAATAATTAACTGAAATGGATTTGAAACCCATAAGCATAAGCTTTACGTTTCACCACAATATAATATATGTGTCATAAATCAATCGAAGTAAAGTTTATGTGAAAATCTTCTTCTTTTGACACATATATTTAATCGATTTCTAAAAATAAATCGAAAAATAAACATCAGGCAGTGGGAGCTTTCACAGTTGTGTCTTTTTTTTATTGTAGCTGATTTGGGATTCGATCAAGAACTGTTGAGGTGTGATGCTTTCGGTTTCTGCGCTCGATTCCACTGGGCCACGGCTGACTTCAAGATTGAGCTCGTTCAATTAGCATGAAGTAAGAACAGCTCTCCCGACATGGAATGTAGTGCAACTTTATGCTCGTTTTGCTAGAGTGAAGACAAATAGCACTGACAAGTTTATGTTCCGTTTCGGTGGTGTCGTTTGTTCAAATCTTTCTTAATGCGCCTGTGTGCAATAAAACAACGACTAAATTATATGAGTTGATGGAACTGGTTCATGAAGTTCGAGTACTAGGGCTGGAATCTGAATTAGCTGTGTAGAAGGCTTACAATTAGAATCACAGCAAAGTAAATATTGCAATAGAATAATTTTTTTTCAATCTCAATACATTCTTTTCCGGAACCCCTTATCTTATGAAACAATAACAAACAAAGATTATTCAATACAGTATCATTGTTGTTAGCAATATTTACAATATCAACAATCATTTTAATGAGTGTACGATAACATCGTTGAAAATTGTTTCAATAATTTATGAAGAGCAATCATGTAAGATGTATTTTATTTTGAGCGATATTCATCCCAGAAAAACATGCCAAAACAAATGTTTGCTGTTGGATTTCTTAAAAGGCAAATCTATATGACTATATAATGATTGGGATAAATCTGTTTACAATATTTAAACCTCAAAAATCAAAGGAAGCTATTCCAATGAGATATGAGATATATATGTTTTCCTATACTGCAAAGTTAAATGACAGTCCAATAGTTTCTACATGTCTGTTTACACGTGACATATCAACAAACGTCAAAAATCGTTAAAAGCAACTTCAATAAAATATACATGATTATCTTATAAGATATATCTTTTAGTGAGCAATATTCATCATGAAAACAGGTATATTGTACTGAATTATCTAATAATGCAAACTTATATGATTTTCCATTACTTTCTAGATGTCTGTTCCCACATATATCAACATGACATATCAACAATTTTTCACCATGAAATAATATCAGACAATATTCATATACTTTTTACCTATCGCTAACCACGTTCGAAGCCAAGTTCGAAGCAAAGTATTATCAAGTACAAAGTATGTGAAATTACGATAGAAATCATTCCATATCGCAGTCATAGTTTTAAAGTGATAATACAATGGAATCTATCAATCATCACATAGAATGAATAAATCTGCTGACATTGCTATGTTATAAGATGAGCAATATAAGTGCTCCCAAGACATCAAAACGATTTGACGGAAATGTGCACTTCTATCACACTTTTTGCATTTTTTGGGACAGTCCAGTTTCAGATGCAATCAGCAATAAAAGATACTTTGACTATATATGTTTTTAGTATTACTTCTACGTGAAGTCAACGATTTACATAGTTGAAGATGCTAATTTCAAATAACAGACTGTAGTGGTAATTTTTATACGATAGATGGAGTAGATGAAACCATAGAGTTGATAGTTCCGTTAGAGTACGGCAGTGTGAAGATTGCATATAGATATTAGAATAGAGAGCTTAGGACAACTTTTAAGGAAGGTACAAATCGGTTTTTTCATCTCTCTTTACCAAACTCCCCCTTTGGAGAGGGACGGTGAGGGGTGTACACCCCCCCCCCCCCCGCCACCACTGGGACACCCCTTTGGTTCACTTGCGAACCATCAATACTCTTGCATATAGAATGGACTATACGCTTGTCTACGTTGGTACCCCAAGAAATTCTTGCTTTTATAATATTCAATTATATGTGTCGTGACGGTAATGAGAAATCGACAGTGAGCATGCATAAGGGCGTATCCGCGATGATCGATTCTCTTCATCGATTTTCTCTTTGCATTGCTACAACTAAGCGAAACAATTTTCAAGAATTTGTTCAATGCAGAGTTGTAACAGGATATATTGGCTATCAAAAACAACAGCAAACGAACCGAGAAACGTAAATTCTAGCGAGTTATTAACGAAAGAGAAAATCGATGAAGAGATTCGATTATCGCGTTTACGCCCTTATGCATGCTCACTGTCGAAATGAACACAGAAGGGAGGTAGCGAAAACCTTCAAATGTTGCTGTATTCGTAAATATCGGAAACGCAAATAGTGCCATCATTATAGGGAGCGATGGTGATGTTGACGTCTCGGTTGACGTTATGTTCGTTAAATTTACGACGCAGTCTGGGGTGAGAGTAAATCGTTTTTTCGATGTAAAAACGATTACAAAATTTAACACCTATTTTTTTCAAGATCGAAAAGATCAAAAGAAGAGATCGATGGACAAAGAATCGATCCGAAAAATCGGAAATCGGAATGAAAAAGATCGATCTTCCAAAGATCGATCCAAGATCGCCCAATCCTAGTTTATAATAGAACGATAATAATAATTCATATTTGACAGTACACTCATTACATATCTAATCCATATGAATTTCACATAGCTTTCCTGTGATCACATAGCTGCAAATCTCACCACAAAATCACATTATGATCGCATAAATGTTATGTGAAATTCGAATGAATTCCATTGATTTTGATTATGGATGAAAATCATGTGCGTTTCCAATCGAGTTTCCAATGGAAGCTACATGAAAACTATTTTCGGTGTATGATAATAAGTTCTTATCTTCTTTATTGTTCTGTAAACTCTATTTTGAGGCTACTCAGTGACTGGGTAGATCTTACTTATTTTTGTATGCTGTATGAATTTGTCAAAAAAAAGTACGGATACGAATTTTGGCCATTTAAATCAAAAATATAAATGTTTATACTCTAAACATATAAATTACTCAAAGCAAATTGAATTCAATTCAAAAGCATGTTTACAAATATATCATATTAACAATGTGATCCATTCATGCCTTTTCCAAATATTGCAATGGCGACCCGCAAAATATCGCTTCACGCACCATCTATAGCGTTGAAAAAGTTCTGCAACAATCATTCAATTACAGTCGAGGGGTGCGTTTATAGCACTTAGTACAAACATAAGAGTCACATTATTTTCATTAATTACATTGTGTATATAAGTTTAACATTTGTCTGACATGTCACTGTTGTCATCAAATAAAATAATATGCTGAAATACATTCATTTGAAATATTTAAAAAAAGAATCATTTATTATTATTATTATTATTTAGCTTTATTAAGGAGGCTTTCAGCCTTGGGCTGGTTCGCCTCCAAAAGAATCATTTGGTTTACCCCTCGTGACGATAAACAAATACATTGGTAGCCTTTACGGCCACAGAGGTGCTTTCATCGATAAAAATTTGGTTCGCCAGCTAAGCGAAAGAGTGGATCATATTGTTTATGTAATATATTTGTTAAAATGCAATCAAAAGTACATAAAGTAATTAATGCGTTTGAAGTAGAACTGATGGTAATTAAAATTATCCATGTAATTAAAAGTATTGAAAATGTAATTAATGTACTTTAATTACGAAATTTTGACTGTAATTAATGGAGTTTAAAAGAAGTTAATGTTCTACATTGTGTAATTAATGTAATTAAAGCAGTAATTAATGGAATTAATTTAATTACAGTCGTTGCCTGCGTTGGAGTTAAAGGTCATTGCGTGCCCCTAGAGAATATGCAATTTTCTCAAAAGTAACTTCAAGGTGACTACATATAGGTGTTCTAATGTGTCAAATTCATGATTCAGCCATGTTGGATTTTTGTATGGGACAGCGACCGAGTTTGTTTACAATTTGCTCTAAAACCACACTTTTCCCCCTCCCCGCGACCTCCTCGCCTATATACACGGATAGAAATCTCCTTATACTTTTTGGCAAATTTCTATTGCTGATTTTTCATAAAATGTATAAGTCAACTAATAAGCAGACGCCAGGCAAAATGTTAATGAAGACCATGTGTCGAATGAAATGTACAAGCGATCACACATACTTTTGTGCATTCTTACAGGACCTATGTGGTTTGTCTTATGGTATGTATAAGGCTGATGTTTTGGCAAAAATGTATAAGTTAAACACATGAATAAAATAATTGATTTTCGTTTCGTGTAGTAACAAAGCTGTATCACCATTTATATACCCACCATGAGTAACTTATTGGGCTGAACTATACATCGTTGGGTCGAATCTCTCGTTTCTTTTTTGACAACAAAAACTCCTTCCTTTTTTGACAACAAGGCTCAAAACAAAATGAAGAAAAAAAAGAACTCAACTTTCGGGAAGTATTTTTTTTCTCCGTGTGATAAAAATTATTAAATATTTAAAATACTTTAAATTCCGGTTCATTTGATAAAGATTCGGGATTCTTACACTCTAATTTAATCATTATTATTGTCATACTCTTACCAAACTGCATTTGGCACAAACATTGGATACCAAATTAAATATTTATCAACCTACAGCCATATTGCCTTGATCCAACATCATCATTCTAATCATTCATGATTCTGCTGGCCGTCGACATCAATGAGTGCAAACAGGTAAGGCCCAGAGAATTTGTCATCTCTTTTGCTCATGTGCTGTTTAAATTATTGATAGAGAATGACATCAAACTGTGCCATCCACGTATACAGCACTGGAACAAAAGAGATAAAAAATTCTCTGGGCCTCACCTGTTTATACTCATTGTGTCGACAACATCGCAGCGCAGCCGAAGCAGGAGCAGTACCCGAACTAAAGAGCGAAAGACTCGCTTCGTTCGTTCGGTCCGGTCCGTTCGTCACCCCGTTCAGTTGTGTTTGTGTCTCGGCTTCGTGCGGTCGTTTTCTTCGAGCGTCGCGTCGTGTGGTTTCTTGGGTTCTTTCACACCGGAATCATTCTCGCTCATGCTGCAACTTCACCACGCGTACTACCTACTGTTTTTAGTTTATCTTTTCGCTGGAACTTCCATCGTCATCAAAGGGACATTGTTGTAAACAGTCAGTGACAGTAAAAAATTTGGATGTTTTTCTGTTTGAAACCAGTAGGAAAAGAGCAAAAGACTTTATTATCCGTCAAGAAGTCGTAATATCGTTTCGGATTTGTCTTGTCTCCGTCAGCCGTGGTGTGGTGTGGTTCAGGAACACCTTGATCTGCTTCAGCTCTGCGTCTGTTGCCGTGCGAGAGGAAGGAGTTTTTCTTCTTGCTTTTTCTCCCGCCGCCGACCACGACCACGGATGGTTGTGGTGGATAGTGGAGCGTTTTGAGTTGTGTGGTGTTCGCGTTTTTGTTATTTGAACAAGAGAACCGAAGGATAAAGGAATTCCTCAACAGAGAAGAGTGCGATGGACTCCGGGTTCTGGCCGTTCTAGCTGCTGGCAATGTTTTCATGGATTGGACGGTGAACGCATGGATGGACCAGCATAGTGTTGTTTAGATTATCGACCTTTCGTTTGGATTGGAGCCGAATTAAATTCAGAACGATTCCGATCTGCTGGATAACGGTAAATGTGCGTAGATGTGTGAGTTGAAAGATTTTATTTTTTAGCCTATTGTTTACGTTCCGTCTACCGTTGGCCAAAGTGTGTAAACAAGAGTATGATTAGTGCACTGACGAGGGCAAGTAAATAACATCAGTATCTACCAGTAGTGCAACGACAGTGACGACAGTTTTATATTGCGCAAGATATTTTTGAAGAAATAACTAAATGGGACCCAAGTGTGGAATGTGTACCTTAATTGATGATTAAAACAAAGTGTAACTATTTTGCAACGCAACCAACAGATCAAGGCTAAAATCATCTGTGAGCTACAACTGCTTCAGTGCACCAGTATAGAGTGCTCGTTGAGAGCCCCGGTGGTGGTTATTCTTCTGAAAAGGTTTCGCAAAATGTCATGTGGCAGCAGCACTTCAGAAGCTGGTTGGTTGGCTGACAGTGTTTGTGCAATGTGATGCCCGAGAAGAGGGAACGAAAACGGAATAAGGCAAAGATCTCACATTGATCTGATGGTGGAAAGTCCCTGGTGGCGGCTCGTTGGAGGAGAATAAGCCGTTCTCTCAAGTGGTACGGCACTGACGAGTTTGGATTTTTGCAGAAAATCTTCAAAGACATAAGGTAAGCATTCATCGAGGTTAATTGTTTTGCAACAATTTTAATTTTGTGTGGTTTATGATATTGAATTGAACTCATGTTTTTCGTTTGATGAATTGAGCTCAGTTGGTTTAATCATATTCGTAACTAAATGCCAAGGAATCCTATTGAATTCTATCACAATCGAACATTAATTGGTGTCGGCCGCCACCAATGTGTATGCCTTTATAAAGAAAGGCACATGTCACTGATTGGTGGATTTACTTGCTTGTATGGGAAAGAATTCCTTAAGTAATGCAAAATCTATTTAATTTGTACAAAAAAAACTGAATAAATTTATCCACCTACGGGGAGATCTGATCTTTCTTGCGTTTTTAATTCATGTATCGTATGGTGGGTTTTGAAAGAAACTGGAAACTACCCAAGGTGTACCCGGAACATGTTCGGATGTGCCCAATGTGATCGTGAGCTCTTCATATAACCTTTATTGCACTTTTTTTTTTAAATGACATGTGATTAAATCACATGTCATTTAAAAAAAAAAGTGCAATAAAGGTTATATGAAGAGCTCAAATTTTGAGGTGTCACATGACGGGTTTTGGTCCTAGTAAGAAACTGGGGAGGACCTGATACCGAAATGGTTCAATGTGATCAGTGCGATGGATGGCATCACTACGGTTGTGTTGGCGTAACCGACGAAGCTGCCAACCCACAAAATAGATCCAGCAAACTACGACAACTTCAGGCAAACAATCAACACCGAAGGATACCAGAAAGGAGCACAAACCGAAACGTACTTTGTCCGTTAAGGAAGTGATAGTGGTAAATCTAAAACCACTTACTCCGAGCCTGCGGTACTATCCGGATTCATGGGTAATCAACCAGTTCCAGAATCAATTGGATCGCAAAAGCGGTCAGAGCCAGCACCGTTGGAGGAAACAGATCCTGTTCCTCAACCAAATATTGGAATCGGCAAACAGAACGAGAAGTTTTTTGTGCCGTCAGTGGAAGGACTGCCCAAAATTGAGTTGGAGAAGGCGTTTTCGGAAGTTTCGTGTGCCTCGTCGCAGAGATCCGCTCGGAACCGTGCCAAGTTGCTGTTACTGAAGCTGCAAGAAGAAAAGGAGTTCGAAGAAGGACTAGCAGAGCGACGCAAACAGCAAGAAAAGGAGGAAGCAGAACGTCGGTGGTTAGCCGAAGGAAAATAAGCTGAACGTCGGCGGGTAGATGAATAGGAAGAATCAGAAAAGCACAGTGAATTCATAGCAAAGAAGTACAAGATTTTGGAGGACTTGGCTAGTGAAAAGAGGTCAAGTAGGAGTTCCAGCTCTATCATTTCGCGAAGTCGGGTGGAAGAATGGGTGAAAATTGAGAGTCGTAAGCAGTCGAAGACAGCCAAGCCTGCACCTGATTCAACGCTCAGGAACAACTTCGTCAACAACAACTACAGCAAGATCGAGTTGCAGCAAAAAATTATACTGGAACAGCAGCAACAATAACAGCAGTTACAGCAGGAGCGACTACAGCAGCAAGATCAAAAACAGTTGCAGAGAGAAGATGAATTCCGGCAGTACCAACACCAACAACGTCAAAAACAGCTACAACAGGAGTAACTTCTGCAGGAGCAACTGCAAAAGTTGCAAAAGGAGAAGAACCGCGTCAACCAATTGTGAGAAGAGCAGTTGAAGCAGGAAAGACGTTTGCTTGACCAACAACTAGCAAATCGTAATCAATCTGGAAATCCGGTGCCTTCTGGACAGATTCCAGCACTGCAACCTACGACTACACAGGCAAATCGTGCATCGGGTATTCTCTATCTAGATTCGATGCGCGGTCAATCAGGACACTTCAGTCCAGAAACTTTGCCGCAGTCAACGCAAGTTCAATCCGAAGCAATTCATCCGAGCAGCTCAAGTGTGTACCCAAATCGATCAGCTCGATGCTACACGACCTCAGAGCCTCGAGAAACTCCACGTTTATGGAAGATTGTGCATTAGTTGATTGCGAAGATAAGCTCGCTACCAGCGATTCGAGAAGATCGACTGGAAACATTGGTAGATTTCGCAGTGAACGTTCAAAAATTTTGTGCTACAGTTGAGTCATGTCTAAATGTCTAACATCACTCCAACACCAGCTCGTCAGCAAATTACCACCGATCATCAATCTAAGTTGGACTCAACACTCGAAAACGCACCTGACGGTCAACCTAGCGACCTTCAGCGAATGGGTCTACACTCTAGCAGAATCAGCAAGTTCAGTAACGTTTCCTAAAATACCGCTGGAGCAAAAAGGGAGACACCTATCTCAATGCGCATTCCGAGACAACAGTTCATCACGACACGAAATCAAATACGTTTCCAAAGGCGGCAATAGATCCTGCACAAGCACCAGTCAAGGAGGTTTGCGCAGTATGCAAAGGGAACTGCAAATTTGCGCCAGGGAATCCAGATGAGCCATAGTGAGGGAGTGCGAACTTTGCCGCACATGTCTTCGACATCACAACGGAAACTGCAAGGCCAAACCATGTGGCAAAGGCGGATGCGCATACAGACATCACAAACTACTACACAAAGGCCACAAAGAAAAGAACCCAACTCCGAGCGGAAATCAACAGTCGTCCTAACCTGAAGCTGGTAGCTGGTAGTGCTTTCAGGACCTGGAAAGGAGGTACATACCTATGTCTTTTTAGACGAAGGCTCTGCACTGATGCTGGATCAGTAATTGGCTGACGAGCTGAAAGTGAATGGAACCTCGAATCCGCTCTGCCTTCGTTGGACCGGAGGAACTCAACGCTACGAGAAGAATTCCCGCATTGTCAACCTTCACGTTTCTACAAGATATCACGAAGCCAAGAAGTTCCATCTAGAGGATGTGCGGGCAGTGAACGAACTAAAGTTGCCACACCAAACTCTAGATGTCGATGAGCTAGTACGTTTGTATCCTCACCTTAAAGCAGTGCTGAGATTTGTCATTGTCATTGACAGACTTTCGCGTGATTGACAAAATTATTCGTCACATAGTCACTGACAGACTTGATCCTCAAAAATATTCGTCAAAATCTCATCCATTTTTTCGTCAATGACAAAGATTCACCTGGTAACAAAAAGTGTAATTTCGTATATTCTGTGTCACATTATTGTTATCCAAGCAGTTCAGGACGTAGATCCTTGTTCACATTAACGGCTCCATGGAATTGTGTTGCTCAAGTCATTTAATTTCGTTAGTTTAGTTTCAAATTTAGTTTATTAAAAAATCTACACATGTTCGCCACTGACAGCATGGTCATTGACAATTGATATGGTTTGCCTTGACTGTGGCTGTTAGTTCAAATGAGTGACCAAAGCACAATTGTCAATATCACCATGCATTGTCGAGATTGTGCAGCACTGCCTTAAAGGACTGCCTATCGAGTCATACCACGATGCTCTTCCTCGCATTCTGATAGGAATGAAGCATGCTCAGCTAGGACTGAAGGAGAGTTAGGTCAACCGATCGCGATGAAGACCCGGCTGGAATGGACTGTTTGTGGAGGATTGTGTACCGAAGAGACGCCGAATATGTTACATTACACGTTCCACAGTTCGCTCGGTCGACGAAGAATCCGACGAAGACCTACATCTAGCTATGAAGGAGTACTTTTCCCTTGATAGTCTAGGGGTTATAAAGCCAGTGAAGGTGCTTCTATCGTCCGAAGATGAGCGAGCCCGTACACGTTTCAACGGCGAGCGTTACGAAACAAACTTACTTTGGCAATAAGACGACATATGTCTGCCCGATAGCCGAGAAATGGCAATGGCAATGTTGCAGTAACTGGAGACATCCATGAAATGTTTCATCAGGTGCTAATTCGCGAAAAAGATCAACGGTACCAGTGCTTCGTTTGGACAGATGAAGACGGCAACCTCGTGGTGTACGCAATAAAAGTCATGACGTTCGGGACGTGCTGTTCTCCAAGTAGCGCGCAGTACGTGAAGATCATTAACGTGGAGCGCCTCAAAAGTGACTACCCAGTGGCATACGAAGCCATTACGAGAAAGAAGCGGTTCAGACAGCGAAGGACGTCAGACACGTTCACGCACAAGGCGGGTTCGAGATCCGGATCTGGATCAGCAATTCCAGACGGGTAACATTGGCACTACAAGAAGGAAACACGTAGGAGAAAAGTCTTGATCTGTCATCAGAGTTATCTAAGGAGATGGTCTTGGGCATGTGGTGGAATACAACAACCGACAGCTTCACATACAAGGTTGGGTGGACCCACTAAGCGAGAAGTTGTACGAACCCTCATGACTATATTTGACCCGCTTGGACTGATAGCGTACGTTCTAGTTTACCTGAAGGTCCTGTTACAAGAAATATGGCGATCCGGTATTAGTTGGGACCAGTGTTGAGAAAATATCAAAAAATCAAATCTCACCAACGCCCAATATCACGATTGATTTTCGTAGAGGAAAATCAACAAGCAAACAACTGCGGTTGATTTTGCAAGCTGTGATATCGCAGCTCGGAATATCAAGCTAACAAAACTCACCAGCTGCAAATCTCAGCAAACTGTGGTGAGATTGAGTTTCATGATTTTTGCTTTACACCCGAATGCAAACGAAACTTCTATAACGGCTGACAGCAGTCACTTCGTGTCTGCCATCGGTGAAGAGTAAAAAGAGATAGCAAACTATACTTTCTCTTTCTCAGAAAACGATGTGCAACGGAAACATTTTGTGTCGAGTCAACTCTCAGCTTGATGTTTGCACGTTGCGAATAGTCTCGCAATATCAAAGGAGCTTGTAAAATCAATATCAAGCATGACATTTTGTTCCATTATCACACGTGATATTGCGAGCGCATGAGAGCGGAAAAATATCAATTGATTTCTGATTTTGCCAACACTGGTTGGGACGAAGAAATAGACGACGAGGCTTTCGCGGGTTGGCTCACCTGGCTGAAAGTCTTATATATCTGCTGAGAGCAGGTGGTTTACGGACCTGACTTTCTCTGGCCAACCGAAGACAAGTGGCCGCAATCTG